TTCTTTCATGTGCTCATGGTTTAACAATCACTAGAATGTTGCCAAGATGATAAAATGCATCCATGCCTAAAATTTGAGACTGGGGACCACAGCACAGGCATATGGCATACATTCCATGTGTCTGCGTGCAAATTTGACCTCAATCAATTCTGTCTGCCCAAGGCAGCTATTAGACTGCATTCACAATGAACAGTATGAATGATGGTCCCTGATTAGCAAGACCCATGTGTATGGTTTGAGGGTGAGTAGTTAATGTCACCTCCATGAAGTATTGATATTTGACACAAAAGTTCTCCAGGCCAATCAAATCACCCAGTATTATACTTGTCTTACCATACCTCATACGCATTCAGTTCAACGGCAATTTCAGGCACATGTATCATTTACATGTATCTACAAATGTATGTGTAGTATGGTTGTACATGCATACTTCACCTGGACAAAGAGTTTCAAAATACCTCCATAATGCACACACGTTGTCAGTCGCCCATGTTAGGTACGCATGCACAAGTATCGCCTTTGTTACACATGAATAGATACAGAAGTGCTTGCGCATGCGTACTTCACCCGGACAATAGTTTCATAATAGTTCCATAAACTACACATGTTGTCTGTTCCCAGGGAAGAATTTACAGTGCTTGCATATTGGACTTGCTTACGGATGCTTGCATGCTTGCATGCCTGGTAAACTGCAAGAGTGGTGATTGGCTCATGATAATGAATGTACAAGGAGACTTTGGCATTCAATCATGAATATGTATGAGATATGGTAGCACAAGCTCAATATACATAATCAGTAAGTGCACGGAGTACACAAAACTGACTTCATTTGTGTTCTTCAATACCTTGTTCCATACTGCTACCATAGCCTGCAGATCCAGACAGACTCCTACCAATGTCAGTCAGTGAACGTATCATGGGTAGGATACTGCTCCCCCGTTTCTCTCTGTGTTTCTTCTGTCCATGGTGATGATGCTTCCGCAAGAGAGCCTCTCGCACCTGGTCACGCTTTTCCTCTTCCAGCTGGTTAGATGCAATCAATTTGTCTAGCACAATATCTGAAAGTAATGTACATGATGTACTGACTGTGATTAGTCCATAAGACAACCCAAAATCAAGAAAAACAAGAACAAAATGCAGGTTTCAAAGTATTCTTCTCCCATTGTAAATGTGAAGCATCACAACATGAGGCTTGCAAAGGGCTTGACCCTATTTCAATGTGCTTCAAAGAACACAATTATCGGCAGAGACAACATACAGTACAGTACAGCAAAGAGCATGTAAGCTACCTAATAAACAGAAGAGATTTGTTAAATGGAATTAAGCATTAGTTTTGAAAGATTTTTCAAGTACAGGTATCCTGCCAGAATCTTGCCTTTGTTAACAGACTATAGAACAGCAGACAGAGTTTACATGTACACTTTTTTTAAATAAAAAAAAATTTACCCAGGATAAAGCCATATCATTTACATACATGTGCATGTATAAGCTGTTCTCCACATTTGTTTTGAGCAGAAAATATTGAAGGAAGTTCACTGATACAATTGGGAGGAAACTCCAAATGTTCTGGAGAACATCAACAGGATCAGGTTGGGACTCTAAAACTGGTCTGCCTGGGTGGAATTTGAAGCTGGATTACAGAGGTACATGTACAAAGGTAATTCCAGAAATGAGGGATCCAAAAGTGTGGCACTTTTGTGTCTGTTACATCTGACCTTTGTTATTTGACATGGAAATATCACCAGATTGTTTTCAAACTATTACTATTTGTTTGGCAGGTAATTTGCATTAATTCATCGCTCTTGGAAATTTGAAAATGTCTTCTAAACTTACAAAATCATATGCTAGATGTGACGGGACATGAACAAAATGGACCCCTAATTCTGGAATTACCCAAATGTAGCAGGCGAGGAAAGTACTACATGTAGGACCAGTTTGTCAAACTGATCCCCAGTCTGCAATAAGAACCTTATAAACAACCTTGGATAGCTCAATCACATGTAGCTAGTCTCCAGTCTCAAAAGGAGCACTTAGCCTGGTTTCCATGTGGCCGTTTGTAATGCAGATGGAACGCAAGACGTGAAGATGCAGACACGAACGGAAGAGATGGTGCATGACATCATTCCACCCAAAAATTGAAACAAAATGGCACCGAAACTCTGTGATTTTTCACGGAAAATGTGCTTTTAGATTGACAGTACCACCTCATGACGGCAAACCTCTGCTCCAGTTCAATGCATTTCATTGACGGTCATCTATTAGTTGCTCACTGGGGTGTAATATTTAAACATTAAGGAGAAAATGGGCAAAGTCATGGAACTAGGCAAGAGGGACAGCAATGCACACCGGCCATGCCAGCATGCGTGTTTGTATAGGGATACCATGGCTATTCGACGGAGACAGTCAGCAAAGTTGAACCTGGCTCAACTTTGCCAATCATTCACAGGCTGGTTTGTGTTTGTCTGCGTTGTCAGCAACGCCACCATTTGACATGTTTCCATATGTCCGCATTGCAGTTTGTCTTGATTGCATTGCCCTCTGTGTTTCTTACGTTGATATGGAAACCAGGCTTTACTGAACAGCTTAATAACCCAGTCTAGGATATTTTCAGAGCAGAGTGCATAAACATCCGGACTCATTCAGACATATTTCTATGGAACAAAACCCTCCTGACAGCATGATAGAACCACGCCAGGCTTCCATTATGATCTGATCAGCGGAATTGCTAGTCTGAGTATCACCTGCTCTGCTCTGCCATGTGCTCAGCGTGAATGGCTGACACATCAATGCAAGCAAATTTTATGGAAAGCGGTGTATCAGCCAAACAGAGTTATTATAAAGTCATTTTTTGTCTGAATGGTGACAAAGGACATTGATTGGTCAAAAGGTGTCAGCTGACTCGGCAGACATAAAAGTGTCAGTGAAAAGTATGCTTCACTGTTATGACATGCATGAGAATTGATCACCTCAAGTGCAAGCCACAATGATCAAACGGATTCAACCAGCAAAGCAAGGATTAAACTTCTGCGCTTCCTTTAACAAATAGTGTACATGTGTCGCAAATACTATGGAAAATCTATTGAAAACAACAGAAGAGGGAAATAGCAAAACAATTTAACGAGACACCAACTCCACCCTGACTACCCTAGGTACTTTCATGCGCAGTGTTTTCCAGGCAAAGGTTGGTGCCCACTCATTGGTCAAAATCTGGGAAGCACTACGAGGTTGTCTAGCATAAGTAATTGTGGAATCTGCACGTTATAGACACTCCTCTGCAAGTGAGCATCTATTACATACGTGTGCACTGTTGAGTCGCAGGTGGCCTTTGATTTTGAATTCCTGACATTCTCTGGCCCTTATGTACCTAAAGCCACAGAGTACATTTCCCTCATTTGAAAATCTTTATTGCCAGAAGTGCAAAGTGGTTTTTCCTCTACTGACTGCTACATGTACGTGTACATGACCTCCAGAGTATACATGTACATGTCCAAGCAGACTGGCAGCACACGAAGGCCTGCGCATAGCCAACTACTATTCATACATCGCCACTGCTGAGATTGGTACATTCTGCAAATTAACAATTATGTACAAATGTGCCGACTTTGGAAAATTTCTGTTACATGTACATTGTGGTACCACGAAGAGCTGTCGTGAACAGCATCCTGGCTGCTATGACATAACAGGATATCTCTAAATGATAAAGCAAGAATGGACAGACTTACAATATCTAGGCTTGTCTTTGTGTACATTTATGTAGAATTTCAAGTTTGTTTGGACAAATTATTGAAAATGTTTCACTGATACAATGAAAGTTTTATCACCTTAAACTTCATGGTTTTTCAAAATACATTGCCATCATCTTATGCAACAGAAGAAAGATAGGCATTATCATAGAATTCC